CCGGAACCTTACATCCAAGTTAGTTCCATCAGATAAGATTGACATAATGACGATTATTGTTTATAACAGTTTCAATTTTATACTTTTGATGTTGTCATCGAATTAAATTCAAAAAGAAAGTCAAGATGATGCACATGTTACTGTCTTGGCGCTTACAATATTTTTAAACTGCAAAATACCTAAGTTAGAAATTGCCATTTTGGGTTTTTATTGGTATTTTTCAGCATCCATACAACACTACCTCTTTGAAAAAACACGTGTGGTTTCCGGTTTGCCAGGAGAACAGAATTTTCACATGTTTTATTATCTTCTTTCCGGACTAACAGAACATCAAATACAAGCATACGCTTTATCAAAAGCAACTAGATATAGGTATTATGAACTTTAATGCGATCGAAATTGATTTTTTTCCACAATTGGAAATGAAAACCCTTCATTATAAAATAATAAACAGGACGAAATAAATATTCGGTTTACCGTTAGCCTTATTGCCAAAACAACGAATATTTCATGAAAAAATATGTTTAAAAAAATTGTGCTACTTTATTATTTTAGTTCCAAATGGGAGAATGTCTATGTTCCCCTGGAAAAATACTGCAGTATTTGTTCAAAAAGAAATAGTTGTCTGTGCCTACAAATAGTATTGTTTATCTTACCACATGAACCGACCCTACCACAGTGATAATGATTTACCCTGTACAGGGATTCTGTGATACTGTTAATTCATTATTATTCGTAGGAAACAATTTTTGTGGATTTTGTGGATAAAGGTGAATCCCTAATTTAAAATGTTCAACGAAGTACAAATTTACTATAGGCTTGTATGAAGATTTTTGCAATACATTGAAATCAAACATCCACAAAAAAAATAAAATTTTTCCTCAATCCACGAAAATTGTTGTTCACGAAAATACTATAGTGTTACTTACTTGCTGATTCTGTATTGGACCATGTATTGATGCAAGGCCTGCTGCATTGGTCCCGAGGGCCCTTTTGTAAAAAAAAAATGATGTTATATGCCTATCTAAATGCCTAGTGTATCATTGTGTTTATTTTTTTATCATTTAAAGAATATTAGGTTCAGATTCTATGCAACACGACATGAGTACTTGTTGTATGAACAAACTAGAAGAACAGATCGGAATCATGAAAATAATCGGCTTTACTTCTCAGGTTAGTCAACTACTGCCACTTTGTAGTCATGAAAATAATCGGCTTTACTGCTCAGGTTAGTCAACTACTGCCACTTAGTAGTCATGAAAATAATCGGCTTTACTGCTCAGGTTAGTCAACTACTGCCACTTAGTAGTCATGAAAATAATCGGCTTTACTGCTCAGGTTAGTCAACTACTGCCACTTAGTAGTCATGAAAATAATCGGCTTTACAGCTCAGGTTAGTCAACTACTGTCACAAGTCATGAAAATAATCGGCTTTGCAATCATACCTCATCTCCTTATTTTTATATTTACTGCTCAGGTTAGTCAACTACTGTCACTTAGTATTCTTGAAATGTCATTTGGTCTCTGGTGGAGAGTAACTGTTGTCTCATTGGCAATTATACCACATCTTTTTAATTCTATAATGAAAATGTGTCCTATATAAAAAAAAAATGCTTAATCTATAACTAAGTAGCGTTAAAACTATGAAGATCTAGACAAAATTAACAATTTGCCTACTAGTTTCTTGTAAACATTTAGTCATTTCCCTTTGTACATTTATAAAGAATAAATGAAAATCAAATCTATTATCTCTTTTCTTTTTTTTTTTAGTTTTTTTTTTGGGGCATACATGTAAGATAGTAAGTGCGAAATATACATTCCCTACAACACAACCAACCAACCACCCACGTTTGCATTGGTTTCATTGTCTCGTGGGAGAAATCTAGGGGTGACCATTTGTTTTGTACCCCAGTCAAACGCTTGGGAGAATCCTCCAAGGTGCTGTAAGGAATTGAGTTTGATCAACATTGGGCATGCATGATGATATGGAATTTATTGCATATGGCTTAGTTTTGTCTGTCATGGTCCGTCTTCGTAAATGCTATAGGGTATGAGGGTTTGACCATTTCGCTTCTTTAATTGATAAAAGAACGTATTTCCCTTTCTCAAGTACGTCTACTCTATATTTTCACATTTTCTGTAGGTAAATTGTGTGTCTAGTATACAAGACATGTTTTGTATTGTATATATGCAATACAACACGAGTTCTGATTACAATACTTTATTATACTTTTTTTTTTTTAGATAAGTGTATATTAATTCGATGTTTAAAGCATGATAAAGGATATTTGGCCCAAAAAATTACTTTGTAATATTATATTTAAAAACCAATATTTACCATCTAAAATATGCAAATTTAGATAAACTAGACATTTCTTCTGTCTATTGTTTGTTTCAATTTTTAAATATTTTTTTCATCAAATGTTACCATAATCACTAAAGTTAAATTTCATGGTATTTTAGGGCCAATGTTGACCCTTCGTGAACCTACTCTTGCAAGTTATTATTCAATTTAGCCTTTTTATGTTTTTTTCGTATTATCTTGCTATAATATTCAAGATATCGAACGGGACTGACAGACAATGAAAAGATTATTACGGCAAAATGTTTTTACTCAAGCTCAAGATGATTTGTGTAGTATGTTGTTCAGAAATCTTGTTTAAATAAATTATTACATAGGTTTACTGCAGCTTTTATAGCAGAAGAAGAATGGTCTCGCAACGAGCATATTACAATATAACCATTATTTTAGACAACAACAAAATACAATAATCATGTATGCTTACAAAGAAAGAACAGTTTGAACATATATATATATAAAATACAGTGTAATACCTCCTTCTCAGGTACATTGCTTTTAATAAATTGGCAAATCAGTGGATATGTAACTTAACTGCAAAAGTCGCCAATGAACGGAGCTGCATAAGGTGGCGATAGACTCACATGGTATACATGCATGTAGATAGACAATACAGTATTAATAATTTGGTTGGAATATAACGAGAAGATGCACATAACTGGCATATCATTCTATGACATGTATATCTTCTAAATGTTTTGCAGGAAATATCCCTTATATTGTTATTGTTGGTAGTCGTGCTACATCTCACCGAGATCGTATTCGAAGATGATCAACAGAAGGAAACTATTAGCATAACAAGCTATCATACTCTCAAAACTGGTATAACTATTATTCTGTCACTTAAGTTTTTAAAGGAGAGCAACTTTCATTTGAGTTTGTTTCACTCCTAGGCTAGTTTCAAACCAATCCTTCAATCTGTACACAAAATTGACAATATTAAAGCTTCAGAGCTACTTTATGTGTGCACGTTGAGGTTCTGACAACATAATTATGATTGTATCGTATTTCTGAACGTAACTGCTGCTTAGATTTATTTGGCAAAAGCAAATTATGTATCTAAAAATGAGAAAGTAGAGCATTCTAAAATTATCCGAAGTAAATTGACTTGTATAATTTGGTAACCTAAACGCTCGTTTTATCTATACAAGAACCTCTGTGGCACTTGAATCAAAACAGGTGGTAAGTTGAATATCAAATATGACGTTAAAGACCATTAAAAGAAATAGAAACTTGTGCCAAATAAGGCTAAGGCCGTCTATGCATACGGGTAGAAAAGTCTTAGTGTTTCTGAAAAACTCACTAACTCAGTTAGGTTACGGAAGATTTTCAATGCAAAATGTATATTTTTCATATTTTGACCCTATGAGTGAAACAAATCACAAATAAATTGGCCATTCATGTACATCTTTAACTATTAGTATATAAACAAATATTTATAGAGGTAAGAAATAAATATTCTTCATGTAGTAGTTTTATTCGCAAATAGGTGTGATATTGAGAGAACATAAATATGTCACAAATGACCATGTTTTACTTTGATTGTCTTTATTCTGTCTGTCGTATTGTTCTTTCCCTATTAATAATATGGATTTATCAATACAGAAGAACTCATGCAGTATATAAAAAGCATTTGTACTTACTTTGCATCCAGTACACAGGGGAGTTTCACTCACATCAATTTCACGTGAATTAATATTCATGTGAATCTCACGTGAAATTCACGTGAATCTCACCTCAAACGAGCTCATACGTGAAACTCACGTGAAATCAGTTCATGTGAGTTTCACGAGAATCTCATGTGAAACTCGCATGAATTTCACGTGAAAATCACATGAATTTTTTTCACGTGAATTTTTAAAATAAAGTAATTCAAATAACATCTATAATTTCAAATTAAATAAAAATCATGAAAATACCAATTTTTTTTTGTAAAGTTCACGTGAAATTCATGTGAAAAATTTCCCATGAGATTCATGTGAATCTCAATTCACGTTAAATTCACATGAAAATTTTCAAGTGAGTTTCATGTATATATATTCGTTGTATTCGAGGTGAATCTCACGAAATTTTCACGTGAATTTCATGTGGGATTCATGTGAAATTCACGAGAGCAAATTTTGCCTGTGTAAATGAGCATAAGTATTTGTAATATTTTAAGTATGCATGCAGATTATGAATAAAGTATTTGGTTTTTTTTAACATTAAAACTGTATTCCCTTTGATTCATATACTGATGAGATGTAAAACAAAAAACACTGCTGAAATCTAAACAACAGACAAGTGTCAGTAAAATGTTCAGCTAGTTTAATGTGAGCCCTGCGAGAACACAAAATCAGTTAAATCAATGTCTTACATAATATTCCTTAATGATTGTAGTTTGTGACCTGTTACAGTTAAAAACAGAAGATTTCGGAAATGCTCTGCTGAAGAACACAGTTTTGATAAGAGGTAAGTGTGTGTCTTATTCGTTTGGCCTTTTACTTGCTAGTGAACATAAATTAGTACTCTTAAACTGTGTTTTGAAGTTAGTAACTCTGCTCTACAAGACAAAGCTGCTTAAAACAGTGAATAATAGAATATGTATTGCTATTATCAGCTAAGATTTATAGCACTTGGGAGTTTAATAACAAAATTACGAATGAGGTAAATGTAGTATTTTAGTGCAAATCATATATTTCGTGTTTGATAGGGTGTAAACCAGAAATTTGAGAACTTCTAATTTGACTTCATGGCAGCGAACCAGCGCTACTATCATGAAAGGGGAACAACTCTTACTCACCGATTTAAGGTCCATTGAGGATACAAGAACTTGATTATTTATGCTAAAAACTCTTTAAGTATCGTAAAAAATCAAACAGAAGTAGTATTTCTAATTGTTATCTCTTAATTCATGATTTAATGAAATGTCTAGTAAACGTCAATTAGACAACAAATATGTTTTTTTATGCAGAGATAAATGCTTGTGAAACGATATGCACTCCCTCAGGCAAAGTTGACCTTAGATGGATTTGGCTATTATTGTTAGGCACATTTTGGTCATAATGCTCTTCAATTGTTTCTTTTCTTATACAGCCTATGCGTTCAAATATTCGGCTTTGAGCGTTCCAGATAAGCGCTTCGGACGCATAAAATTTGTAAAGTGTTGTTTTTACATTACTTTTTTGTCAGTATATGTTTTTTTTGAAAATTCGTTTTTTTACGTCTGCTGCATCTGCTTAAATTTAAACTAACCATATGCATTTCTACATTTCATTTTTATCAATGGTACTGAAATAGTGGAATAAGTGAAATTACTTAATTATGACGTATGATGGACATGTATGCATTTTATTTTTCATGGTATTTAGGGGAAATTGTACAATTCAATAAAACTGTAACCAAAGCTTGTAATGAACGAGATGCACTGGCGAAGGCTCTTTATTCCAAACTGTTTGACTGGATTGTAGAACGGATCAACTCACATTTAAGTAGTAGATGCATTACTTCGTAAGTTCAAAATTCCAAATATTTGTTTACTCATATTAAGAGGAACTATGAAAATTTCACAATGATACACAAATCAATTACTTCGATCTTTAATTTTGTAAATAAGAAAATACAAAAAAGCTAACATGAATCAATAAAATTAAAAATAAAGTTTTTTTATTGCAATTTAGTTATATATCAACATTTTTTTTATCTTTTCCTAATTTGAACAAAAGTGTTATAAGATTTCTCTTTTTAACTTTTACAGGACTGTTAAAGATATAAGTATTTTAGACATGTCAGGATTTGAAAATTTACCAAGAAATGGATTTGAACAACTTTGTATAAATTCAGCAAATGAAAGAATGCAAATGTTTCTTACTGAAGCAATGTTTGTTCAAGAAGAAACTGACTATATATCAGAGGGCATAGTGGTTTCCCCTGCTGAGTTCCAAAATAATGATGAAATTGTAGATTTTTTATTTGAGGTGAGTTTTATCATGGAAGTAATGTCAAGTCAATATAATACTTCAATGGTAATATATACTGAAAATAATATCGCTCTCGAGTAACAAATCTTCATTTTTTTAAGATTGAATATGCCTTGAAGATATTTGCAATCTCTATAATTTAGAATAATATTACTAGAATATTACAATAAGTGTGTTTTCATTGATTATTTTACTGTGTATATATAATTTAATTGTTATTCCTTTATTTTAAGAAGCCAGTAGGAATATTTAATATAGTAGACGAAGAAACAACATTTCCGAAATCAACAGATGCGACCCTAAAACAGAAATTGGATCAAGTTTGTTCAACTTCACCTTTCTATTCATCAACAGTCGATGATGAAAAGTTTTCTATATCTCATTATGCAGGAAAAGTAAGTATGATATATATGTCAGGTCTTTGGTAGGTTTAATTTATTTGTCACCAGACGATTAAGAGCTTGATATATTGTATAGACACCAGTCTGCATGTTATCCTCTTGACATATTGTATAGACACCAGTCTGCATGTTATCCTCTTGACATATTGTATAGACACCAGTCTGCATGTTATCCTCTTGATATATTGTATAGACACCAGTCTGCATTTTATCCTCTTGACATATTGTATAGACACCAGTCTGCATGTTATCCTCTTGACATATTGTATAGATACCAGTCTGCATGTTATCCTCTTGACATATTGTATAGACACCAGTCTGCATGTTATTCTCTTGACATATTGTATAGACACCAGTCTGCATGTTATCCTCTTGATATCTTTTATGGTTATTTGTGTCGCTAGATTGCCGTCTCAGTGATATATATAAACAACATCTCATTCCATTCAAATTTCAATTTATTTTGCTCCCCGTAACAATTTCGGGAGCATATAGTTATCGCTTTGTTCGTCCGTCCTTCTTTCTCCCGTCCATGTATCAGAAACAAAGGATTCCGGATGATAACTGGAGTGTCCCTTGCTGCATGAGTAGGAATAAAACTTATACAGATGGAATCATAGGGAAAATGAAGAATCCTATTGATTTGGGGGTCAATAGGTTGGGGGTCAATAGGTCAAAGGTCGTAATCACTATATATGAAAATAAAAATAAATGGAAAGATGGTTACCGGATAGCAATTTGGGTTTGCCTTGCTTGATTGGAACAAAAGTTATACAGATGGAAGATTTAGGGAAGGGAAAGAAGCTTAAAGATTTTGGAGTCATTAAATCAAAGGCTACCATTACCAGAAATAGATTTTTGAGGGGAAATGGTTTCAAGACTGTAACTTGAGATTTCTATGGTAGATATAGGAAGCCTATTAAATTTGGAGTTAATAGGGAAAAGGTTAAGGCGACTATGTTGTGTTATTTAAAGAAGATTTTAAAAAACAACGGTTTCCAGATAGTATCTCGAGTTTCCCGTTGCTTGGTTGGAAGGAAACTTAAACAGATGAAAGATAAAGGGCAGGAGGAAACTGGTTTATTTTGGGGTTAACAGGTCAAAGGTTAAGGTCAATGTTATTAAAAAATGATTAATTTCAAAATTTGGATATTTGGATATTCCACTATGAATTGCAACACATTTTTACAGGTGAAAAATAAGCAATAATAGAACAAGTTTATTTTTCCCTCTAGACATATTAGTTTTTCGAACCCCTCAAATATAAAAAGTTTAACTCTAAATATTGCTCTGACGTCTGACCCTGACCTGGGACTTCAAGTTTCTGTCTCGAAATCGTTATACGTCTATTTTGAAGTAGATAATCATACACCATTCGATTCCGTTTTCCTTTACTTTACGAATCTGTAACTTATACACGTTTGTTGTTATAATGTTATTATACAGAGACTGCGCTATTGGGTCTTACTGTCCATGCACATTTGAAAAAGTCAGTCCGATGTTCGAGTAATCACTACTGAAATTATGAATGAGTTTTTCTTATTGCGAACCTAATACTGTCGCATTTTTTCGCAACAAAAAAGGTCGCAATAATTTCTGAATTTACAGCATCAGTTGGCAGTGCCACTTTTTTACTTTTTAAAAAAAAAATGTTATTTAAATCGAAGAAAGGTACATATTATATTCAGGTTTTTTTCTAACACTGTTGAAAAGCAGTTTTGTAAAAAGATTACACTTTAGGGTTAGATTAATCTTAATATATTGAATTTTCTCTCTCATAATGTGTTATGTAGATTGCATATTAATGTTGTATCATCGTGTGCAATAATGGTTAACATTTTTTTATTCTTTGACACGCAATGTGCTTGTTCATTGTCCTTAAACGTATATATGATTTAACACAGAAATATCATTTATTTTCCAATGAAAACACGAATTCTGCAAATAGTACCAGTGTTTTAGTACACGACCGCGTAAAATAAGATGTCACAATAATATGTCATGTACATGGGATATATCAATTAATTTTCTCATAGTCCAGTCCTAAAAAGGTTGATTTTTTTGTCATATATAAAACTGTTTACTACTTGACCTTCATTTATTTACATTTATGTTTGTTTAATTGGACGATATAGCAAACATGGACTGCTTGTGGTAGGAAAGTTTGTCTTGTGTTGTTAATCATTTAGTAATATTTTCCACTAAACTAAATATATTTAACATGATTTGGTATATAATATAGATTTCAACTGTTAAATCATTTTCATAGTTTCAAATATTGAAATATTCAATGCATGTAAAATGATATTCAGCGTTTTAATCGGATATATTTTGAACTTGATTCATTTTACTATTGCTGCCTGTTGGACTTCAGATATATGAAACGTTAAAGTTAAAACTTGTTTCGTCTCCTTATTCTTGTGCGGCTTTATATCTACATTTCACTTATCTAAAAAATGGAGAACCAAATTTTCGCTTCCATATCATGCATAGGTCGAATACCAGGTGGATGGTATGTTGGAAAGAAACAGGGATAAATTGAGTCAAGATTTTGTCAACTGTTTGTCTGAGAGCCAGAATCAATTTGTCCAAAACTTAACAGATTTTTCAAGGTAAATCGTAAATTTTAATGTAATGAAATCACAATTCGGACGCATCAATTTTTTTAATTGTTGTTTTCGTATATTTCTCATAAGAAAACTTGCACTGATGTTTAATGTTTGTACACAACATAAGATCATGTATTTATCGCTGAGTACTTCCAATGCAAGATGTTTAGACAGGTCAAATACAATCAAAACAATCTTTGGACGTATAAATACTTAAGCAGTATATATAGTTAAAGTAACCTCACGATATTTAAACGATGCGAAAAGTCTTAGTTTCACTAAATAATTTTTGACTTAGGAAAAGTTATTTTTTTTCTGAGCGTACATAAATTGTTTAATTTTTTCATGGAATAACATGGCTGCAACCGTCCAAGCAAAGGATTTCCGCCTATTGTGCCAGATGTGTCGTTTGCTTTTTCCTCTTTTTTTTTGTATCTTTGCAAAATTAAGAAACTGTTACTTTTTATATAGACTTTTTTATATATCCTTTCAATTAGTTATCATTGGTACAATTATTGTAGCAACTTATCAACGAAATGGAAATCACAACAATCACTTTGCAAGAGCGAGGATACTGTCAGTGAAATATCTATCAATAGTTACGATAGGATTACACATTCAAACGAGAAAAGGTAATGTAGCAGGTAATCAACATTCAAAAGTTCTGAAACCTGCTATTACTTCTTTGTTTAGATAAACTGTGTGTAATGCAACATAAGCAATTGTTGTAAAATAACAACATTTATTTAGAATAGGGAAGGGTGTTAGAAACTTCCGTTTTTTGGCCATTTTTAAACTAACTATGCATTGATCTTTATGATGTTTTGCAAAATAACAATCTTCATTCTCGTGGAAAATTTTCTTTTTATTTTTTTTTTGTGAATTTGTTTTATAGTTTATTATATAAAATTGAGAATGGAAATGGGGAATGTGTCAAAGAGACAACAACCCGACCATAGAGCAGACAACAGCCTGCTTGTTTCTTGTTTCCAAAAATCTAGGAGTAAAATAGATTCGAGTCCAATTTTTTTTATTTAATATTTTTGCGAAATTAGTTTTATCAACACCTTTTTATATGTAAATGGATGCTATTTGATTAATTATTCTCATCAAGAAGTCAGTACCTATTGATTAATTGATTGATTGATTGATTGATTGATTGATTGATTGTTGAAAGTCCAGTGACAAATATTTAATGCGTAACCAGGACGAAGCAGCATACCTTATAAAAGAATAAAGTTACATATCTAGAAAGAAGTTGATGGTAAAAAAGCTGGAAATGTCATCCAAAAAAAAAAATATTTTCAGTCAGTATATATGTTCAATCATATAGAAATTTATGAATCTTTAATTGAGACTTTTTCGTTATAATTGTATTGTTTATGAGCTGTCTTAAAAGATATTTAACATATATACTATTTTACTCTAAATTCTGTTTGTAATGTATGCATAAAAACGATGTTTTGACTGAAAAATCGTTAGAATAATTTTATTACATTTCACCTTTTCACTTTTTTTATTATACCAAATTAGTATGCCTGAACTATTTTCTATATTTGAATAATAAATACATATATCAAAACGTAACTGATTGAAATTACACATGGTTTATGTATTTCAAAACGTGATTTAACATTCCTAAGTCTCAATAATAATATGTACATAATGTTTAGCCCTGAGATAAATTCAGCCATTGTCCTTGATTTAAGCATTTTACAGATGGACAACATGTACACCTTAGATGACTTCAAGATAACAGAATATCAATGTTTTAGTATTAATGACAAACAAAAATTTGTTAATTACACACTGCATTTGTTAGATCTTATTCAAGACAAAGGCAGAGGTGGATTTAGGGAGACCAGGGGCCGCCCCTCTTATAGAGCTATATATATATGATAAATGCATAGACTTTTTACAAGGATAACTCCAAACGTTGGCTTGCAAAGGAGCTCCCTTTTTCAAAATCCTGGATCCGCACCGGACAGTAAACTTCCCTACAATTCTGCTGACCAGTATAGGTAAACATAAGAAGATGCTTATTTAGTATCGTAAATCCAATTTCTTTCATGCAGTGGTTTACACTCAAATTTTCATTATTATTATTTTTATTTGCGTTGATTTATTTTGTATTCAAATTCATTTTAGAAAAAGTTCTGGAAGTAGTGTCTCAGGGTCTCGAAAATCTAACTTTGTTTCCAGACATTTCCGGGTAAGACTTTCTCTATTTTCCCTAACTAGTAAAATCAGTACATCTCTAGTTGGACAACGATCCAACGAAATCACAAACTCATCTTTTTTAAATGTGCTGAATGTAGTTAAAATGTGTTTTCTTGATATCTTATTGATAAATTGAATTGATAGTATCTATATTACTATCAGTAATACAATTTTCGTAAATCAAACGCCATTTGAACCATTAGATAATTAGTAATAAGGGAATTGCAGCAGAGATATAATTTTAAATTTCATATTTGCATGAGTGGTTTTATTTTTAAACAGAAATCAAATCTAGGTTAGTATACTAGTCCCAGATCAAATATATTTCTTGTAATGATAATAAAAATACTAATGATTAATCATTATGCACTTTTTCATAAAAGATTCATCATAAATGCCTGCAGTGCACTATATACATTTAATAGAATTATAAAATTAATATTGTTACTTTTACAGAGATCATTATCAGATTTAATGAACAAAATGTCTGATGCCAAGCCTTGGTTTGTCAGGTATGTATATATGGTCCAGTTACCAGTTTGACTTAAGGACAAAACAAAGCCCGTAGGGGAGTAATGTTATCTCAAATACTCTATAGTAAATTACATTATCTGAAAATCTCTTCCACCCTTTCTGGCTAGTCATATTTCCTATAATAAAAATTGCATTTTGTAAAATCATTTCGAACCAATGAATTAATTTTTACGGATTTTATTTGATTTGTCACTTTCGTCGAATGAATGTTGAGTAGGATTATTTTTTTATAGATGTATTAAGCCCAATGAAAAACAAGTTCCAGATAAATTACAAACTGATCTTATTGTGGATCAGTTGAAATGTAATGGATTACTTGAAATTGCAAGGATTCGTAAAAATGGATACGCACTTCGTTTGACTGCGGAAGAATTCTTACAGAGGTTTGTATATTTAATAAATAATTCTTGTTATTGTATAGCTTATCCTTCACTTATTAACAACATTTAAAACAAATTTCATTTTTAGTCATCATATTTGTTCTTAAAACTATATAGGTATGTATTAGTACTCTGTATTTGTAATTTTTTTGTAATTTTTAGGTTTTAAATTTTGATTAATTCAATAGAGAAAAAATGTAAAATTTCAACGTTAAAAATTATCTAACTTCTTACATTTCTTTTCGAGCATCGTAAACAAAAAATGATTATTTTAGACGCACATACGGGGCATCAATTCATTTCCGTATTTTAAAATTTTGTAAAAGTATAACTAATAATTGGGGTATACAAGTGCAGGGTTTGCAAAGTGATTTCTAAAGTCACATAATCTCTGCTGTTTGGGAACAAACATGTTTGACAGACCTAATGTTTGTGTATTTCAATTGTAGTGTTCTAGTCTACTACGTATTCTATAAATCCATTGAATTATTGTTGTTTGCTTATTGTCCAGTGGCAAATATTTGATGAATATTCTGAACGATCTGTAAATAAATAAATCAACTGGCCTTTTTGTTTAGCATTTTGTTTTATTGTGATATGCATGCTTCATTAAAAGGAATGTATTTCTAATTGAATAATTATGTTAGGCTGTATACCAGAAAGAATGAAATCACGGATTTATTTGATTTAAAAGGGATATTTTAGTAGAGATGATGATAAAATAGAGATTTTGGAAGAATTTAACATTCTCTTTAGCTTTTCATTAGAGAAAAGAAAAGATGCTGGCTGTTTCTTCTTCTTTTTCTACTACTTATTTTGTACAATAATTTCTCAACCAATAACACACAAGATTAGAATGCATTAATAATGATGTGGCTGTCACTACTGTTATATCTCATATACAGCAATTATATCATCGGGTTCATTAGATGATGGTGATGATGATGGATGGCTGCTTAATGTCCAGCGGCAAATTAATATGCATACTCAGGATGAGAACATGTTAAAGCAATATGAATATTAACCCTGCTTTGTACTAGACCGACCGGCTGACGTGCTATTTCACAAGGTAACAGTTCGCAGGAAGACATGTCACCTTACCCAGACACATTATTCTGACACCGAACCGACCAGTCTTTGCTCTTACTCCTTAATGCTGCGTGCTTAGCGGAGAAGCAGCAGATAGCAATTTTAAAGTCTTTGGTTAGACCCGGCCGGGGTTCGAACCCACGACCTCCCACACTCGAGGCGAACACGCTACCACGAAACCTCCGAGGCGTTTGGTTCATTAGACAAGACGGGTGCAAATCGGATGTTTGATAAAGTAATTTGTCATCAATGTCTCCATTTTGTTTATACATATGCACTTAAAGTAACATTTTATTACGTGTGGTTGGGTTTTGAATTGATGTTTCATTTTTAGTTCAACTGTTAGAGTATAATATGTCCATTTATAAGGAAGAAAAAAAGATGTCAGGTTATTTATAAAAAAAATATCACTATGCTATACATAATATCATCATTATAAAATTCCAGAAATTATGTGATTTTGGCGATCTCATATGTCTATTTCAATACGTTAAGAATATATCTCTTATATTCTGTTAAGTAATATTTTACTTATAATATGTTTAATGAAATATTAACTCTACCTCCTTTCTCAGCAAATACTTTTCAATATAAGGTGTCACTGCTTTTAAAATGTGCCAAATGTCAATTGTCATAATGTAATACAACTTTTATGTACTATCTAATATAGCTTGCAATGTACTTGATATATGTTGTTATGTTGTTCAATACTTACTAATTAGAGCTGTAATATCACACCCTCGAGTGCTTTTATATGTTATATTTTTTGTCAACAATACTTTTTATAGATATCGAGACATATCCTTTGAAAGGAAAGAGGTAATACAATCAACGTTTGACAACTGTGAAAAAGTTCTACTTGACGCCAAAATTACTGGCTATGCCTTTGGCAAACAAAAGGTGCGTCTGTGTGAATTATAAAACGTTTCAGATTATAGTGGTTTGTCAAAAGTGAAGAGAAAAGACATTCAATATACTAAAAGTTCATACAAACTCGCGCATTAACTTAATATACTAAGACACAATGATCATAATCGTATCATATTAAGTCATAGATTTGATCATTACATAATAATCAGTCACAAATAAGATGATAATATTATGTAAGGTCACAAATTTGATCAAAACCTTACGTAAAGTCGCACATTTGCCCATTGCTTGGTTATACTAAGTCACACGATTCGTCCTTATTCATCATATTAATTCAAAGATTTGAGATACCCTTATCATATTGAATCACAAATTGTGCATAACCTTAAATAATTTGTTTGACCTTCTTACATTTAGTCACAAAATTTGTTATTATGTGATAACATTTAAGTCGCAACATTCGTCACAATAGTCTGATAACATTTAAAGTCACAAAAATCGTCATTAACTAATTAAGTCACAAAAAGTCACCATCTTTTTAAGTCCTTTTCGGTCATACAGCTCTTTGACTGTTTCGGTTCTCATAAATCCTAGGATTTCAAATATTCGGCTTTGGGCGTTCCTGATGAAGTTAAACCAGAAAAGCGCTTCGTACGCATGCAATTTATAAAGTATAGTTTTCATTTTTTGATCATTCATTCAGTTCTTATAATAACGATTAACGATAAACAAAACTTCAAACATTTATGTTATCAACTTTTTTTAATTTAAGAAAACTATACCATAATCATTGTATTGAAGAAAAATCGCATTCTTCTATGTTTGTTCCATCGTTGGCAAAGAAAATTGTGCCTTTATATTTCAACATTTACATATCTTTTAGATATTTCTTCGCCATTGGCATGGTCGAATTTTACAAGATCTTGTCTCTGAAGTAAGAACGAAAATGACAGAAGCAGCAGGTGCTTCCACTAATGACACTGCGACAGCAGGAACCGAGTATATCGCATGCTCAAACACTGATGGAGAGGACACAATAAACGAGGACACTTGTGACGAAAACATCATATCTAAAACAACACCAAAACGTTCTAACTCGTGTACGTCTACGTCATCACAACAACGTGTAGCTGAATGGATGCAGCAAAATGATAATATATCAGAAGATGTTAGTCTACCGACGTTTGACCCCGGACCTTCTCCGGTATTTCCCAAACCTCAGGTACATAAAAAAGCCGTGCAAAAGTGTTTTGTCAATCTTTCTCGTTGTGTCAGTTGACCCTCAGCAATGTACCCTTCAAACACAAGTAGATTTTTTCTTCTTATATTTGATCTTATTATAGAATTTAGGACAACTGTGCAGAGGGTTTCCTCTAAAACTGAGAGCAAACTAATGTTAATCAATTTTGGCTACCAGTTGATTTGGCCAGAAAGTGAAACTAATAATAAAATAGAATCATAATCCAAGATCAAAATGGTTTTAATCATATGAAACAAGAATTGAAGTTACATTAATAGCATATTAATTTATGAAATCACAAAAAAAATGTTCTTTTTCAGAGAGATCAACATGTCAGAATAAGTATACCAGAGTATTCCGAAAGAAAAGTATTTGACGAGTAAGTTAATATTTTCATCGAAGTTAAAATATACCATCAAGTCACACTTAACATTCAATGACCGCTCGCTCAGTTCAGATTAAAAAGTTCAATAGTACAACTACAGTCATTTAACTACCTCAATGATATTATTAAAAAGCTTCGATCCCCCTTGTGAACTTTGCTTATGTTCAATGATTTGTTATGAGTAAATGTAAGAACTTTTATTCATGTTGCAAATACTTCTTGTTTGAAGGTTCAACCATTGTTTTTATATACTACATTATTAATACAATTCAAACACCAAAGTACACAATAAATTTCAGGAATTCATAAATGCAATAATGAAATAGCATGAATATATTATAATATTATTTTTCAGGCGTTTATGGGATAGATTTCAGATGATCCCGCGTGAACGAATCTCTACCAGTGATACAATTCGACCATTTGTTAAAGTATTTAAATTCATCTGTTATATCCTATTGTTTTGTCTTGTTTTGACGTCAGCTGTTGTTAGTAAGATGTGTGTTCTTTTATTGGCATCCAGTATTATAAAAGTAAGTATTGTAACGAAAAATCCTTGTTTTTGTTTGTCCTTTTTCAACTGATAATTTTGACAATCCCTTGGTATCTCTTTTTCTTTTTTCAAATTTTATTTGGAATTCGACCAGATATCTTGATTAACGAAAGTGTAATTATTAATTTTATTTGATGTAATCATATTTTTGATAAAATAATTCTATTTTTTTTTTGTGTAATCATAAAGTTGATTTCAAAAGTTCAGAAAAATAGTAGAAGAAGAAGAAGAGAGGCGAAGGATACCAAAGGGACTTCAAACTCATAAGTCGAAAATAAACTGACAACGCCATGGCTGAAAAGGAAAAAGACAAACAGACAAACAACAGTACACAAAACACAACATAGAAAACCAAAGACTCAGCAACACGAACCCCACCAAAAACGGGGGGGGGGGGGGGGGGGGGGGGGATCTCAGATGCTAAGGAAAGGTAATCAGATCCTGCACCACATGTGGCACCCGTCGTGAAGCCTATTTTTTTTATAACTTCACACATTCTACTGTCAATTTAGTATAAGGGAAGATGTATAAAAACGACAACATTGACACATGATGCTATTTTTTTTATTTTTTAGGATCCTGTAACTAAGAATGATGAAGACTCTCCTGCGTATACTATGTTAGTTATTGTCATTTGTTCGCCATACATCTGTTGGGTATTTAGTTACTCCGCTAAGTCCTTGTTTGGAAGCAGTGCTTGGCCATCATTCCGGATGATAATCGTTGTAAGTAATGTTTTCTGAAGTCACCAAAATACTGGTCTATAATCCTGAAGGAAAACATTTAAGCACACCAGACGCGTTCATATAAAAACTATCTGGAAATACACGATACACAAAAAAAAGTTTTAAAATGGGTATATGTGATTATCAATCATAAACTGTTGTACCTGAATGAAATCAAACAGCGTATAACACGATGCATTTTGTTTTTTGTCGATTATATAATGGTATTCCTGGGCTGATATATGCATAAAACCACAAAGATATCCAATCGTAATACTAATTTATCGTAGGACAAGTAGAAAAATCCGTCCATTCGGAACAAATCTTAACTAAAGTACAAAAACAAATGTAGCTTTATGCATACGGGCCCTGTTTCCTATTTTTTTCGAAATGGATTGTATATGGTTTTCGCCTCCTGTATACAATGCTTATACTTCAAGTTGAATTAAGTAAAAGATAAACTGGCGTTATATCTTAAATTACATTTTTTTTTGCTATACTCGTAGCTGTCATGAACAAAAGATGTGGTGTATGCATTTAGTGAGACAGAATCTTATAAAAAAAAGGGGATGAAGATACCAAGGAGAAAAACGAGGATAAATTGACGGCGCCATGACAACAAAAAACGAAATACAACGAAAAGACAAAAAAGTGAACAACACACTTCCTAGAAAACTAGAGACTGAGCAATACGAACCCCACTAAAACAGTGGGTGATCTCAGGCGCCCCAGAAGGGTATGCACTGGTAGAACCTTCCATGTTCCTTATTGTATTAAGTACAATTTCGGTGATAAGTGCCCCAATCGAGGAGAAGAGGACGGGGTTGTGGTTACAATTGGAACCTATACTTGGTCATCTGTGACACAAATATTTCATAACGGTCAAACCAACTCGTGATGGCGTCCGTAAAACCTTTGTAGGGAGCAAAACTTACCCAGATAATTCACATGAATATCTACATGTGGTCTTAAGTAATAGACAAGTGTCTATATAATTAGTCAACCTCGTCGAGAGTCGAGACAACTTATAAATACATTTATACGGAACAAGCAAATCATGCACATGTACGTTTATCGAAGTAAAATCAAGCAATCATTATGTATTGTCATTTTGAATTTATAGGGTTGCAATAAATGGTTGATGATAAAACTATAAACTAAAATGGCAGGTAATATAATTTCACTTTAGGAGGAAATGAGGTAAACAGTACTAAACTAAATAAATAAAGCTTTGCAATTGAGCGTAAGTATGCTCTTGATTTTTTTTTCATTATGTTATACATATCTATTATTCTGTAATTCTAGACGTATGGTATACATATCTATTATTCTGTAATTCTAGACGCTGTTTGTGGAACTTTTACATACTTTCGGATTATCACTATTAGTTTTCCATATTTTGCCAAGAATGGACATGGCAAGAAGTTTACTAACATTTTGTGGAGTATCTACGGTACCAGCATTTTTCAAAACAATAGGCCTAGCCTGTGATTCAAGTATTCCGCCAGTGAAAAGATGTGCTCTTGGACTTATCAATAGCCTAGCCTTTATAATACAGCTAGCAAATCTAGCAGCATCAACTTTATTGAGTACACCGTTAACCGAAACTGAAAAGAATACTCTTAAAGCTACTGTTTTAAATAATGATGAAATAGTCCACACGGTTTCGAGACCACCGTTAACATTTGATGATAGAATTATGTGGGAGATACCAGTAGCTTTACTTTTCATCAGTATTTCATACTGGGAAAATTTTGTTTACGGTAATTTCAGTATACATGCTTTTCAAATTCCGTTGTTAGAATGGAAGAAGCAGATGCATTCCGTTCGCCAACGACTGTACATCCTCGCTGGAATCTGGAAGATTGGTTGGACAATGGTGTTTGCTGTTTTGTTGTTTCCAGGATTTAATTTCAACATTCATTTTAGTGATAAACCTCAGGTCTTGAAAAGTGATAATACTGTTTTACCCCAATTGCTAACAACAACACTTTCGTATAACATCACAGAGAGTTCAACGCGTAAATATGGCTCGAGTCTTCCAACAAAGGAAACGACAACTGCTTCTGGTTATGATGGCTCCGGACGTAATATAAGAGTAAGGAGATCAATTGCTGATGATATTAACGCAAATGGTATAAATGCTGTATCAAATCTTTCCAGTGACACACTAAATCAAAAGTATCAGAAGTTATTGTCAAGTACAATATCATCCATAACCCAATCAAATGCAGATAACAATTCCACAACAACGGCAACGAAATCGAAGAACTCTGATAATGGTGATTTTTCCTTTTCAATTCCCGAATCATTGAAGATTAACTTTCAACAATATGGACCATTATATTTACATCTTATTGCTAGCACTTTGATGTCGTACTTTGGTAGCTTAGCTTGCAAATTATGTATGCAAACTTTTGGATTTACTATACCATTGTTTTTGGCAACACCAGCAACACTTGGTTTAATTCTTGCACAATCATATACCCAGTTTATACCATCATATTTTTACGTCTGGATTTGCCCTGAAATGGAAGGTAACATTAGACTTTACCATTTGTTATGGTTTGGAGTCTTGTGGATTTCTCAGGTTATTGTGACAGCACATATATGGTCCCCTAAAAATGGACGTATGGCCAAAATAGATAGGTGAGGATTTATTTCAGTTGTTTGAGTGATTTATTGATTGATATAAATTGGCAAATGTCTCAAACATATTAAGGGAAAAGAATTATAACATGATTTTTGTATGATATTAATAACTAACAGTACTATTATCGTAAAAAAGACATTTTGAAGGAGGTTTTTGGTTTATTAACTCGGCCGACTCATTCATAAAATGACTAGAATCATCTGACGTTATGGAATGACAAAACATCAACATACTTTGTAGAAATAACCTTAACTTTTTTATAATTTCAATGAAATGAATTGTTTACTTTTTATACATTGTGACTTGGATGGAGAGTTGTCTCATAAGCACTCATACCACATCTTCTTATTTATATAAAGTGTCAAGGTTAAACATTCTATTAACGCATAAACTATTTCGCATATGTGGGAATTATTCATACTCCGAACGTCCGGATGTATATATGTGTACACTTTTTCTTTGTAATGACTCTCGGGAACAGAACCCGAGTTGACAGTATGAAACAACGAACCTTGGAATTGTTTGCACATATGTTTCTATCAAGCAAGTTGTTGATATTTGCGTGTTTAAACATGGGTTTCTTTAGTTGTAAAGAATATTTTAAAGTCATAATACATCAAATTTTCAACAAAAAAAGTTGAATATATTTTAAATGCTTGAATGGCTGAGTTTTACTGTAAACTCGTGTACATAAAATTTCTTCAAAAGAAAAATCCCTCATCTTATCTTAAATGAACTGCTATTGAATTATTGTCTTTCCGTACTCCTAATTCGCCGATAGCTTTTACGTTTGCAAATACTTGACCTCTCGTTATTACGTCGGCAACCGCACAGCAAAAGTTCGAGAGAAAAACCGTGCTGAAAAAATAGGTAAACAAACGTGGAAATTAGATAGTGTTAGTTGAAAAAAAATATTTTAAAAAATTAATACAATTTATCATTTAACAACTGTTATGACAAAGTTTAATTAGCAAATAATAAACATTGAAAATTTAAGAAAAAAGATAACATCGCTCTATTGCATGTCTATCCTCAATTATTTTTCACGTGCTCCATTATTCTGTGTTAATCGTTTACTAAAGTCACGTTCGGAAAACTTCGGCATTATAAAACTCGAAAGTTAATTAGCAGGCATTCCCTGAATGAAATATTTTTTGTCGATTATATTTTATGGATTCGTAATAAACGTAAAAAAATCATACATAGATGATTTAGTTTAGTATATATATAAGAAACTCAATTCGTATGACTTTTTCTACCACAGGAATAGATTACCCTAAATGTATATGGCATAACCTTTCGGAATTTTGGGTCCTAAATGCTCTCTAACTTCGTATTTGTTTGGCATTTTTAACTTAGTTTATTCGAGCTTCACTGATGAGTCTTTTGTAGACGAAATGCGCGTCTGTCGTACAAAATTGTAATCCGGGTATCTATGATTGGTTTATTTAAAGAAGTTTGTTTATGGTTCAACTGTCGACGAAGGACTCTTTATTAAGTTTGTGTGTGAAAGGCAGAGGTAACACTTCAGTAAACTTCGTAAATTCACCGTTATTATTCATTATTCCAATAAAATACAATAACGAATATGTCCAGACTCAAAATTTCGTCCAAACACAACTATTTCCCCTGTGTAGGAATTGATACTTGTGACGCCATAAAACGGCGTTTAATATATATAATAATTTTTTTTCGCAAATGAAGCTCACAAATAAAATAAGGCCTATAAAACATTTAATTTATTAGGTAATAGCTACCACATTCTTTAGCCATGATCAACTGCAAAGATGTTTATCTAATTATAAATTAACTCTTATAATTGTGTTTAGAAGTTCCGTACTAAACGTTCATTTCAAAATATGTTTGTTGTCTGCTCTATGGTCGGGTTGTTGTCTCTTTGACACATTCCCCATTTCCATTCTCAATTTTATTGCACTGAGTAGTTCGAGGTGTGTATTCCAGATTTTATATTTGAGTATAAATCTTATATTTTATTCAGATTATTTGTACTGCCTATTCGATGTGGAGTTCTGCTCGATCATAGTATGATGCTTCGTCGAAGGACTAATGATCGTGATTGCTCATTGTTTAACGCCGACGAAGATGATTCCTTTATGTTTGACGACGACGAGGAGATTCATAAAGCAGACGATATTGTGCCTCAGATATATGCATGTGCCACAATGTGGCATGAAACCAGAAATGAGATGACACAACTTTTGAAATCAATTTTCAGGTAGTATATCAAATGTTCATATAGACAGTTTTTAGGTAGTGTGGCATGAAACCAGAAATGAAATGACACAACTTTTGAAATTAATTTTTACATACAGTCTTCAGATAGTATTTTAAATTTTCATCCAAACAATTTTCAGGTAGTATATTAAATTTTCATACACTCAATTGTTAGATAGTGTATTAAATTTTCATACACAAAATTGTTAAGAAGTGTATTAAATTTTCATACGAAAAATACCTGAAAATTGGTCATGAACACTGAAATCGGTTTCATAAGTTATTGTTAAAAGAATTTTAGAGAATAACTTTATATATGAGTATATTTGAATCAATAGAATAGTTCCTTTTGATTTTAATCCTTGATAAAAAAATCTTGGAAAATTTTATGATAAAATAAAACAATCTTCTATAACTTAAATAAGCTGTTTTCTATTGCCCTTGCTTAACTCTCATTTACAAAAATAAACATTATTTATACATATATCATTCGTATTTTGTAGAATGGACATTGATCATAGTGCTCGCTTTCTTGCTCAGAAATTCTATGATATCAAGGATCCAGACTATTATGAATTTGAAGGTAACTTATTTTTACAAAAATTGATCGATGTTATCATTGATAGTGTTAAGTTTATGTGATACTTGTAGTTAAACATTTATCTTTCAGCCTTTCAGCCTAAAATCAATCATGGTCAGTAAAGCAGACGAGACATTTCAGCGTGTGCACTCCTGTTATATAAAGACTTTGATGTTATGATATGATTTATGTATATTCTAGCATTTTTATGCAATTCAAGTCTTTTAAGTAGATGATTTCAAACTTTAAGAATATATATAATATGAAATTATCATATGCATGCATCACTTTTTCTGTTGGATTCTGTGGTAGATTAAGTTGTAAATACATTACTTTTTCTTCAGCACATATTTTCTTTGATGATGCTATGGAGCTATCAGATGAAGATGTTCTTGTACCAAATAGTTTCGTTGCTGACCTGATAGACTGTATAGAGGATGCATTGAGGTAGTAGAAATTTAAACTTTATACATTTTCAGAAATTGATTTATATTTTCTTTCTACCCAGTTGTCATAGGTTTGGCACGCAACTCTTTGAAATGCTGATGATAATTTTAAACTGTCACTTTAAAAATAATATTGTTAAACTTAAACTAAGAGTATACATCTCTTTGAAAAGTGAGTTGAAATGGTTTTTTTGACTGTTTGGTCAAGTTCTATTTTGATGCTCCAAAACGTTTTATATATTGTGAAAATAGAAACAGATTAATACAAAAAAAAATCACATTGTTAGTTTAACTGTTAGCGCTTTTGAAATATAAAATTGAGAATGGAAACGGAGAATGTGTCAAAGAGACAACAACCCGACCAAAGAGCAGAAAACAGCCCAAGGCCACCAAAGGGTCTTCAACACAGCGAGAAAATCCCACACCCAGAGGCGGGCTTCAGCTGGCCCCTAAACAAAAATGTATACTTGTTCAGCGAAAATGAACGTCACACTAAACTGCGAAACATATAAATGAACCAAAATTACAAAAGACCAGAGGTTCCTGACTTGGGACAGGCGCAAAAATGCGGCGGGGTTAAACATGTTTTATGAGATCTCAATCCTCCCCTATACCTCTAGCCAATGTAGAATAAACAAACACACAATAAAACTCAGTTTAAAAGAAGTCCGAATCCGATGTTAGAATAGGTAACAGAAGAAACTAAGCAAAATGACAATGATCAACATAAATTAACAAAGGACTACTAGCAGTTACTGACATGCCAGCTCCAGACCACAATTAAACGGATTGAGAGATTATGTCTTCATCATATGAAAATCAAGCACAATCCCTCCCGTTAGGGGTTTAGTATCATACCATCATAAAATATACGAGAAAATAACCCGTATCATGCCAACAACTGGTTTAAGAATATATGTGTATATTTCCGATCCAAAGACCCTATGAGTGAACCAATATTAATTCCAAAAAAAGCCATCTCTAATGACCTGACAACAGTATCGTAACTATATCCCTTCTGAATAAGTCTTTTTTAAAGGGGCATTAGCTACGAGATATACAAAAAATTAAAATATGATTTTTTTTTCCATTCATTAACGAAAGTGAAATAGTGAAATTATTATTCGCTTTTAGCAGCCAGTTTGGTTCAATTTTGTCAAAATAAGCTAAGAAACATCGCTGACTAATTATTCACTTGCAAGTGAATAATTCGATCTCATTGAATCCGTATTCATGTGACCTTCAGTTTAATCCCTTAGCTTAAGATGGGTTACGCATGAACTAGGCGTGTTCAGCTATTGAAAGGAAAAGAATGTCAACGTTGAAAGTGAAACAAGGGTAAACCATTTGGTTGACTGATTCGATCTACAAAAACTCATTCTTATACAGGTAAAAAACGATGATTAACATATTTTTTTAACCTATAATAGGAAATCAAACAGACCTAGAAAAATCCATTTGCACATGTTCTATATCTATTTATATCTATATTTATGTTTATATCGGGTTATATGACCGTCAGCTGCCTTCGGGGGTCACCTCGATGGTTCATTAGATGGCGTCTAGACTAAAATACACACGAAATTCTGATACATATTATCGAGTCCATGCATCGTAAATTGTTTATTTTTGACTTTTTATAATTTGGATATACGTTTTAGTATGTTATAAATCAAATATGAGAGTTTGAGCTAAATCGATAAACATGAATTTGACAACTAATGCCCCTTTAATGGTTGGTTAGCTTTATATATACATATGTGTTATTTTAGACCCAATGTTTTAATGTTGATTACACTCTACTAACAATTTTCAAAAAACACATGGCGTTGAAATCGGTACCATATGTTATTTTTTTTGTCTGAATTTGAAACCATTAATATATTTTATGAATATCTATGATTTTCATTCTGTAACTTAAAATTTGTAGCACTGATGTATACATCTAATGAGATTCTGTTATTAATTTAGTATTTTTTTTGTTAATTTCATATGACACACTCTTACATGCATCGTTTGCTGTTATAGAAAAATATAATCCAAACAATCAGTCGTATTATCATATTATTAGTTAGTGTATCTATCGAATATTTCAGCTCAGTACATGAGAGACAAATGTATATAAGCTCTCCAGTCAGGACACCTACTCCTTACGGTGGACGGCTGATCTGGCGATTGCCGGGTGGTACAAAACTTCTTGCACATCTGAAGGATAAACATAAAGCTCGTCACAAAAAACGTTGGTCACAGGTAAATTATAGCAAATATTTTTGATTCTCAGACGCATATTACACATTATGTATGCTTCTAAAGTCAACAAGTGTGGACACAGATCAGTGTGGATGGTAATTGTTTTATTTGTGTTAGTATTTTAACAGTGTTTTTCCACCGAGTTTATGCATTGGTTGTATCAAACTTGATGTTTCCTGAGCTATTTCACTGTCTTTCCCATGTGTTTATATATTCTTTTGTTAAACGTTTTTCCTTGATTACATTCTTTAATAAACTAGAATCCGCTTGTATTAACGCTACACTCAAACAAAGTGTAGTAGTCAGCCAAGAACCAAACCAGCTTAATTCTTTTACAGCAAAATATCTTTTTATCTTTCCATCTTCGAATCAGACTAATATGTGCATTATGCTTCGTTTCAAGTCTATGATGGAGTAATTGTAGACTTTTTTCATTATTCATTTTATTTATTTCTCACGCGGCATTTAACACAATTGTTGATTCTAAAATATATTATATTATTATTCAGGTGATGTATATGTACTACCTGCTAGGCTATCGAATCTTAGCTCAGCCAGAAAATCTCCTACGTAAAGATGGTAATAGATCCGATACTCCAGACTCAGATAATTCCAGAGTTCGTCTCACTGAAACTCAACTACGACGTAGGCGACAGGCGTCCCATTTTACTCGGAGTGTCATTTTTAACTATACTAGTGAGGAAGTTCATACACAGGTATTATGGGGAACGGATTTATGATATATGATTGGCCAACTGTATTTTGCATTTTTGCAGTACACAGTTTTTCCGTGCATCAAATACACTATTATAGTCCGTGGTACAGCTGAGGTTGAATGGTTGTAATGATCATGCCAATTTATAAATTGAAATATAGTTTGATTAAATTGTTGTTTACTTTTATTAATCACTTACACATTGTCTGATTGTTTTGGTAGTAATGGTTTTTTTTTTTAATTATGTGTTAAAATAATTAAAGATTGTTTTATGCCCCACATACGATAGTAGAGGGACATTGTGTTTTTCGGTCTGTGCGTCCGTTCGTTCGTTCGTCCGTTCGTCCGTCTGCCCCGCTTCAGGTTAAAGTGTTTGGTCAAGGTAGTTTTTGATGAAGTTGAAGTCCAATCATCTTGAAACTTAGTGCGAGTGGGGCATCCGTGTACTATAGACACATTCTTGTTTTATATATTTTGAAGGGAGATAACTTAGGATATTTAATTATATCATATAGAGTACTGTATTTTTTTATTTTGTTAAAATGAGAATAAGTATCTATCACATATTCTTGATATACGGAAGCGCTTCTTGCCAGAAATGTGGTAGTCACTTGCTTTCAATTCGTATAAATTGAAGGAAGAAAACACATCAGTTAACTGGTATATTTACAGATCTTTGAAATAAAGTATATGTGTTTTATTAACGTTTTCAATCTGAAAGTAAGTTTTTAATACTTAACTTTAGCATAAAATGATTTAGTGATATTAAAGCAGTATTAGTTCATGCGTCATATAGCTGAAATGTGCATAATGAAGATGTCGCTTTCAAAGTAGACAGCTCAAGCTCGTAAAACATGTAAAACATTTACCAAATTCGTTAAAATAATAATTTATTTTACATATTTATATTTCCTATTCATATTTTCAGTATATAATGGCAAAAACGTTTTCATTTTCAAAATTTGCGATTTTTAAGACACAACCGCTTGCGCGAAGTACAATGTGTAAAAAAAGGCCTAGTTAAATTTGGCGGGAGGAGCTTGTAATTCTTTGGTTGCGTTCATTTAAAATTGAAACCAATTTAACGGCATGTGATTATTCGACTTGCAGCCTATAAATATCACTATTTGCATGTATTGAACACCTACTGAAAATATTGTGCTATGAAATAAATAGAGATGATCCGATTTATTCCTTTTATATTTTGAAATATTTATTAAAAATTATTTTTTCGTACACAACCTGTACTTGTTCTGTGAAAGGGAAGATTTGACGAATCCTTTATATTAACAATTTTTTAATCGCATGATATAAACTACATATTAGCAAAGAATGAGAAATGCCAATTTTACCCTTAGATACAATTTATTTCACACAGGCAGAGAATACATTTATTTTGAGTTTGGATGGTGACGTAGACTTTAAACCTGATGCAGTCCGACTCTTAGTTGATCGACTTAAGAAGAACAAAAAGGTTGGAGCCGCATGTGGTCGTATTCATCCTATTGGTTCAGGTAACAATTACACATCTTTCTAGAAAGCCTTACCCAGCTTTTTATCTTCAATTTTTTAATAAGTTTTGGATTTTCAAATATTTTGGCCTCATGCATCACTGTTGCGGCATTTATTGTCGAACAGTGCATCTGGTGTGTAAAATTGGTACCATAAATGTTATTAAAACACAATTTATATTTTTTATTCCTTTTAAAAGATTTATTGCTTTCCTTGGTAAACTATACATAAGCTAATAAATAATTTCTGTTAAGCTGAAAGCAGCTAAACACGTGCATGAACATATCAATTACTAGTATAAGCTATTAATTTTTTTATTAAGGTCCAATTTTATGGTATCAAGAATTTGAGTATGCCATTGGCCACTGGTTACAGAAAGCTACCGAACACGTGTTTGGTTGTGTTCTCTGTGCTCCAGGGTGTTTCAGTCTATTTCGTGGATCTGCAATTATGGATGACAATGTTGCAAGGAGTTATGCAATACGGACAACTGAGGCAGGACAATATGTACAATATGATCAAGGTCTGTTATATAATAAAATATTTAGTCAGTTATTCTATTCTTTATATCACTAGTGTGTTCCCATTATCTGAATTTGAAATAATTCTGTCGTGTAACAAGAGATTATGTATCCGTCCATGCGTCATATAGTTGAAATGTGCAGAATTAGAATATGCTTATATATATTTTTTTATGTTTGTCTTCCTGAGTTGTTATTTTATGTTTAAGAGTGTGAAGGTATGGGCTAAGTGAATTTAAGATATAATCCCTAATATACAATAACTGAAAGTACTTTGAGTAACTTAAGTAAGATAGTTTATTACAAATTCAAGTAATCAGAAAATTACGTCAAAACCATAGCTTTGACATTGCAAACTTTTGCAATAATCAAACTAATGATTGCACAGTTCTTTAGAAGATTTTTAAAAGCGTTTCCTTCTCAATGTGTAGCAGTTACCAAACTGTCCCGTAGTCAACACCAGTAAATTGTTACATCCAATAAAAAGTCAGTTCTATTTCAGGTGAAGACAGATGGCTAAGCACTCTCCTTCTACAACAAGGATACAGAATAGATTACTGCGCAGCTGCAGATGCTTTGACGCACGCGCCAGAAACATTTTCAGAATTCTTTAATCAAAGACGTCGATGGGGACCTTCTACACTCGCAAACATTTGCGATTTATTGGGAGATTGGAAGAACACTGTTCGTCTTAATGATAACATCAGTACCCTTTACGTTTTGTATCAGTTTCTTTTGCTAGTATCTACCGTACTTGGTCCTGCAACAGTACTGCTTATGATGGCTGGTGCATTTACTGTCGTATTTAAGACGACAATTGTGGAGTCATATGCAATATCTTTGCTTCCAGCAATATTTTTTATTGTGATTTGCATCTTCACTAAGCCGACCACTCAGATCACCGTAGCAACTATAATGAGTGCTTGTTATACGATCTTTATGACCATTGTTTTAGTAGGAACCGTCGGTACTGGTATTGAAGGAGGTATAACCAGTCCGAATGTGATATTTCTTACGCTATTGGTAATCATATTCTTTATATCGGCTTTGTTACATCCAGAGGAGTTCGCGTGTTTAATTTCAGGGGCACTTTACTTCATTTGCATCCCAATTGGCTATCTTCTTTTAACGATCTACTATTTATGTAATTTGCACATTGTTTCATGGGGTACTCGAGAAGTACCACAAAGAAAATCGCGGGAAGAGATAGAAGCTGAAAAGAGGGCTGAGGAAGAGAAACGAAAAAAGAGAGAGGAAAGGAAAGGATTCTTAGGTTGGCTGGGCCTTGATACGGTGATTAATGAGACAGTTGAAATGTTCAAGCAGTTTCGACAAGCTGCCGGTGCTAATAAAACTGACACAAAGCCAAAAACCGATCAACTACTTGAAGAACTTATTCTAGAACTTCGCCAGAGTAGGGAAAATAAGACACTTCCACCAAGACAAAGATCATCATCCACCATGACTGATAAAGGCGAGACTCCAATGTCACTAGAGAAAATGATAGGACCGGTTCCGGCTAATATATCATTAATTAGACCAGACCCGACGCCAGCTTGGCTGAGAAACGAAGACCCTGAAAATCCAGGGTGGTTAACCAGTTTAACATGTGGTGATGGTCCGATTAAAAGATTGACAGAGAAAGAACGTATATTTTGGAAACAGCTAATCAAAAAATATTTGTTTCCTATAAATGAAGATAAAATGCACCAAGAAAAGGTTGCAGCGGATTTAAAAAATCTACGAAATAACGTTGTATTTGGTTTCTTTATGACAAGTGCTTTGTGGGTAGCTCTAACCATGCAACTTCAATTGTTGCAAGATGACTTTAAGGATACAGTTTTATTTATCAAAATTCCCTATTTCGACTCTTCTAGAAAAGATCTGACGTTTGAACCATTAGGGATGCTTTTTCTTGCTTTGTTCTCCACAATTTTATTTTTTCAATTTATTGGAATGCTCTCTCATAGATGGGGAACAATTTTACATGTTTTGTCAATAACGGATATTTCCTGCACTCAACAATTTACGGAGAAACATAAAATACAGGAAATTATAACTAGAACAATGGAATTACAACGCGTAATTAACATAGAAAATGAACCGGAACCGGATTACGACGATGGATTAACAGATTTTGATGGTGACGATTTCGACGATGAAGACGATCTTTCCTCTTGTTTCTATACAGACACGTCATGTTCGTCTTTTAGTGTATCTCGTCCTCCACCATCTTATCATTCACATGATATAACAAACGGGAAGAAATGCATACGCCGTCGACATAGTGCTATTTTTAACAGACGAGGACATGCTACAGGGCGTACTTTACGTCACGCCTTTGAAAGACGCTATAGAAATGAATTGCAGAGGACTACTAGTGGCGACTCCGAAAACGACACAGCTGCTGCAGAGGGTGCTGGAAACGAAATTAATAGAACTGCCTCCTTTTAAACACGTGTATATGCAATTTTGAATGGCTAAGAGCTTATTGAAAATCATTTGTGATTCCAACTGTTTCTGTGATGATGGTTAAATTTTGTTTTGGTTTTTTTTTTATTGTTGTATTATAAATGAACTTTTTGTTGGGAAACTCAAAACACTTATAATCTTTTATACCTATTTTTAAATAAACATTTAGAAACTGGTTATTCTGAGATCCTCTAACCTTGCATTTTGTCTGAATTGTGTGATTGTATCAATTCTGTGTGTATGTAACCAAAGAAATGTTTTTTTTATAGGTAAACATTACACTTAGAATGTGTAACTTTAAACAAATGAAGTAAATATTCGTTGAGTGTAAAATTAATATGAAGACCACTAAACATTGTTAGTTAATTCTACTGCATAAACAAAGAGGTCATTAATGTATCCTGCATGTTATGTCTTTCATTATGAATAGTTAGCAAGAGGAAAATTCAACTAGTGCGACGTAATAAAAAAAATGCTTCAAATTCTAATGCGTTGTAATATATATTTGCATGGCAACGACTCATTCATAAGGTGTTTATTTAAAACAAATATAATAGAAAAATATAAATTTCTAATACTATATATATGTGAAAAGCTATCGTGTAACTCATTCTCTCTGAGCCCGAGTTAAAAGAAAGCAAACAAATATGTTTTCTATCTCCGGATCTTAACAAAAATCCAAAAAATAGATAGCGGTATGTTATACTATTGAATAAAAAAGTTAGCGGTATGTTATACTATTGAATAAAAAAGATAGCGGTATGTTATACTATTGAATAAAAAAGATAGCGGTATGTTATACTATTGAATAAAAAAGATAGCGGTATGTTATACTATTGAATAAAAAAGATAGCGGTATGTTATACTATTGAATAAAAAAGATAGCGATATGTTATACTATTGAATAAAAAAGATAGCGGTATGTTATACTATTGAATAAAAAAGTTAGCGGTATGTTATACTGTTGAATAAAAAAGATAGCGGTATGTTATACTATTGAATAAAAAAGTTAGCGGTATGTTATACTATTGAATAAAAAAGTTAGCGGTATGTTATACTATTGAATAAAAAAGATAGCGGTATGTTATACTATTGAATAAAAAAGATAGCGGTATGTTAGGGGACGACCATTTGATATTCGGGGGGGGGGGGGGGCAGGAGGATTTGTTTTGGATCGGTTATTTATTTTTGTAAACTAAGAGGACAGATTATCTATTTTCTGCACTATTGAAGCAAGATTTTTCATTTTCATTAAAGCAAGGGACTGATTATTTATTTTCACAACTATATTTATAATATTCGAAAACATACAATTTTTAAATTATTTGTTTATTATAAATAATTCATGTATAGTCAAGTCATTATGTACCATTTAATCAGAATTAATTATTATCCTCTGCAGAAATGAATCTTCTATATTCCCCAGTGCATATACATGTATTGCATACATACACAGTATTAAAGTTTGGTTGTAACTAAGGCTCTTTTAAAAGTATTGGCAAACATGTTTGGCCAAGCGGAGCGAGGCAAAATTTTTTTTGAAGGGTTTTTGAACCGCTGAAGGCCCAAGAAGCTATAGAACAAATGATGCAAAATCATGCCTTCTGGGTGTTCCCCAGACCCTTTCTTAAACTGAAAATGCAAGTTCTGTTTTAATAATTGTATGACAATATTTTGGTCTCAAAGCAAAATCACGTTATAGATTCAGTGTAAGACTTAAGTTTCTAGGGACAACATCAAAAGACAAATATGCATGATAAAGCAAAAATGTAATTCACATAGTTAAGTCTGTTGCTGCTGTGTTTTTTAAACTCATGATCAAGTTAATAATAAAATAGCTAAATTACAAAATGAATGCAACACTAACAGAATACAGAAGGGCAATCAATGAACAAAAGACAAATAAATAAGAAACATTGATCCCGAAAAATCAGGGGCTACGTCTGAGGGAGAACAGAACTTGCTTCTTGCAAGGCACTCACGGTGAACACAATTTGATATGGAGTTTTGAAATTTCCTACATGAGGCATTTGTCTCAATGTAGTTACGGCCCTGATTTAATAAAAGTGAGGTAAGTGTTCCTGAGACAATTAACCTCAAGTTAAATGAAACCAATTTTCTGACATTTCAAGCATATTTAAATAATATTTATACTTTTATTATTAAAAGATATGGGAAGTGTTTCCCGATTTTTTTTGGAAAAAGATGAATTTATGAAGAATCTGGTGCCATCTCATACTTTCGATTAGACCTGCTGAGTTATTTATTTTCAAACTACCACAGAACAAACCATTTACAAGTTTTTGTAATTATCAAGGCTGAGTTATTTATTTTCAAAATCCTCCTGAAAAGTATTTTGAGAGTGGGTTTTGGTGGGAGATCTTTTATTGTTTTTGTAGGGTTTTGTCACAGATTTTGTGGGCTCAGGACGATTTTGAGCTTGACATATAGTATAGAAACCAGTCTTATGCTAAAGACAGTATTTTGCCCTCTTGAAGTCGTTTTGTTATTATTGTGTTGTGTTGCTGACTGATTTACGTATATCCCACATCTTATATTTATATTGGTTAATTTACCAAAGCAATTAAGACGCAGAATTTCAAGGTTTTTGTAAACTGATACTATGACGTGTTTCCTGGAAAACTAGGATACATAAACTGTTGACACAGCAATATGTCACGCCTTTGTGTAATTTTGATAGTTAAATGCAAATGTTGGAAATGATTTGATTTTGATTTTTGGTGTCTTAACGCCACTTTTAAGCACCGCTTTTGGGCTATTTCGTGGCGGCCAGTTTTTATTGGTGGAGGAAGCCGTAGTGCCCGGAGAAAACCACCGACCTTCGATAGGAAAACTGACAATCCTAGTCAATTAAGATTGGAGTCGAGTGCACCCGCACGAGCGGGGTTCGAACTCGCAACCTCAGTGTTGACTGGCTAGTGATTACAGTAGTAACTACTTAGACCACTCGGCCACCGAGGCCCCCTGTTGGAAATGAAATGACACTACTTTTACATATGAACTATGCATATCATTCAAAGTTAATGAGCCTTCACGGAAGAAGCAGGGTCAAATAACATCAAGCTCCGTGAAAATAAGGAATGGCGATGATAATACAACTGGAACCAAATGTCATTGTTTTATCATAAGTGTTTTCTTTTAAACTGATCTAAGCATAAACTTTAACATGTAAACTAAACAAAAGTTTTAAAGTCGGGTACCATGATGAGGGTGCAGCTCCATAAAATCTCCAAGGAAATGAGACGTGCAAATATTTATACAACTGCATACCAAATATTATTGACTTACTATTAAGTGGTTCGTCTTAAACTGACTTAATCACAAACTTTAACATGTAAAATATGTAAAAGTTTCCAAGACAATAGACCATAACTGAGGGTTTAAGGCCAAATAATCTCCATGAAAATGAGATTCGTCACTGCTTATGTACCTGCACACAAAATATCATTGCCTTACCTCTAACGGCTTCGCTTCAACTAACCTAATCACAAACTTTAACATGTAAACTATGCAAAAGTTTCAAAGTCAATAGACCATGACTAAGAGAACGGGGCCAAAAAAACTCCATGGAAATGAGATGTGCCAGTGCATACCAAATATCATTGACTTCTACCAGTAGTTCCCTTACAACTGATCTATTAAATCATAAACTAATGTATTTTTGCCACCGCAGGAAACAGCTCGCCATTGTCTCGCTTTTTCGACTTCGTCCAGGCGAGACAACCAAAGCATCGTGATGTTGTGATCCAGCCATATTCATAGCTAGTCTGATATTCTTTCTGACCATTTTTTTCAATATTTTTTTCTCTTTTCATTTCCAATCTTACTGTAAAATTTCTATGTTATTGTCCAAAAGTAGGGAATTTCGCAATATTGATGCAAATATTGATATATATATATTGATATTTCAATTTTATTTTTTTGTTATAAATATTTGCAATTTAATGGTATTGACAAGAATGGAAAGGGAAATCGTCAAATATAATTTTATAAGCAATATATTTTTTTATATGCCATTAATAATAACTGGCTTAATAATTTCCAGAAAGAGGCCTTGGAAATGCACTTTCTCAACAACAAAAATTTTAAAAAATAATAACTATTTTTTATCTAAATTGGTGTTCATTCTTCATTAAGAAAAAATACATTTCCTGTATTCAAATTTAAATGTACAAATACATAATGCTGAGGTATTTCCAATTACAATTAAATAGCAATATATAGACAATAATAGTGCATTGACTTGACATATCAACGATATAAGGATGAGGCTTAGAAACGGGGAAATGCGAGGCTCTGCCGAGCTTTTTCCCCGTTTCGGGCCGAATCCTTATATCGTTGATATGTCAAGTCAATGCACTATTATTGTCTTTATACTGCATTCTAGAAAAAAAAAACATTTGCAATTGTTGTTTAATGTGTAAATGTTATTTATTTGATTTAAATATTGGGAAAAATCCCCCTTTAAAAGGCCTCATACCGGTATCAGGCGGAGAAATAGACAACGCAATGAAATGTACATTACCTGTTGAAACCCGCAATCGATGGTGAACGAATTCGTTTGAGTATGGACTAAAATATCAACAATAAGCATAAAAAATAATGATTTTTTTGGTTTCAAACAAAAAATATTAACAATTGAAATATGTTTTCCAAAAATTGTAAAAGAAATAAGTTTGGGTCGTCCCACGCTTCATTGTAAACATTGGAAACAAGAACAGGTTGAAGAGGTCGTATGAATAATTAAATATAGTTTCGGCAACTTCTATTTAAATATTCATGAGGAAAAGTGATATCGGGTCAGTGACTGTATATGACATAGAAATATACAGTCAACGCATTTTGACTGCTCAAATAGAACGAGTACAGTATAAAATGGGATATAAATGTAGAACAAACAAATAAGTTTTATTGCAGAAAATGCTCAGGTAAGAGTTATGCAATTTTGTTTATTGTTTCAACCAAATTTCTGATAATTGAACTTGTAACTAATTAATTAGAACTTGATTATTGACTCATGTCAGATGATAATGACACTGATTTTACAAATGAAATAAAATTTGCTTGCATTTTTTATACATATTTTTTCTTTTTTTGTCTTTTCTTTGAAAAAAAACCCCACATCTGATTAATCATTCATGTCAAAAATTGGTAGTTGATGATTAAAATGGTGTAGAAAGTTTCTGCAAGTCATAAAACACATAATTAGTTTCATGATATGTCTACAACTTAGTATTCTGCACCATCTCCAAAACCATAGTGATCGCATAGATCCAGCATGGCTGAATCAAAAATTAAACGTCCTCGCTTATATTTGTGACCGTCTTTTAGTTCGACAAATAGTTACATTATTTTGTGGTTTGTAAAATGAATATTGTTGTTGGTACAAATAGGTCTTATTAAAATGACTTGGTTGTACCTTTTTAAATGTAAGTGCATATATCTTTATATCATTACACGGCA